AATATTGAAACTGAAATGCACATTATGCCATTAACGTAAGAATTAGAGAAGCGCCAGTAGATGTAATTAATTGTAAGAGATATACGTACATTATGTTCAAGTTGCATAAAATGTTTGGCAAACAAGCTTTTGACAAATTTCACAACTGCATTCAAAGTTTGACTAAAAATGCTACAAGAACTATATCTTAGATTATTAGATTATAATTGCCTGATCTTTAGATTATAATTGCAAAACGATAGTATAAATTTGGTCTCTTTTGAGCATACATAAGATTAAGGGATTAGCCTCGATATAGCACCTCATGGACCATAAGCATATGATACATTCAACTGCTAAGGAATGAATTATTCAACACTTATTTTCCATTTTTTTTTTTTTTGTTTGAGTAAAGCTTTTTCAATCAAAACATATGCATACTTTATATTGAAATTAATGTCATACTATACAAAATAATATAAACAAAATATGACATTTCATAACATAAATATGCATTTTTGTTATAAAGGTATAATAGGTTGACATGTTTAACGTTTAAGCTGTCTCACACAAAAATTTGTGCTGTAAAGATGTTGTTAAATTGTCTTATCGTCTAATGATCATAATATTTTACTATATTTAGTATTCTTTAAAAAATAATATAAATAAAAATATGATATTTTGTATTATAATTATTCAATTTTATCAAAAAAATATAATTATTTAACCATTAGACGGTTTAATGGCATCACTTGTGTTTTTCACGATATCTCAATCAACTCCTTAAAAATCCTAGAAGTTTGAGAAAAACATATCTCACATTTTTCAAACCGAATCATACACAAAATTGTGGTGTTAACTTCTCCACTCGTATCAAAATTCCTCAAGTTTATCTGCGAAAATTCTATCTGAGATGGTTTAATTATTAAACAGATTGATCTATGAATAGAAATACATACTGTATACTATATTAAATATTGCACTTTTAGTTATATTATTTTTAGAAACTTAAAAAATATTATATAAATATGTAAATTTATGCAAAGTGTGCCTAACACTACTATTCAAATTTTCAGTATCGAATAATGCAATACAATAATCGTTAGGTCATAAATGAAGACACCA